GTTACACATTCGTAGATGTTTAATTGACTGATTGAAATCAATCAGAATTCTCGACCGAGTATAAAATAAGGGCTGCAATTTAGCAAAACTACGCAACGTACGAGTTCGATGCGCGCGGAGCTCTTCAGAATTATGTAACGGCGCTTTCACCAAGTGTTCTTTCGCTCGGCGAGCAGAGCGCGCGCACTGCAACGAACGATTAATCTTGCGAGGTTTTAATATATATAGTATACTTTTATTCGCGGTTCACACACTCGAGTATCACCGTTCGTACATACATAACACGCCCTCTGCATCGCATACATATTAAAACCACTGCTGCGTCGTTTGAGGAACAAAGAGGTAGATTCACGTATACGCACAGAGTTGTTTTTTCGTTCGTCCGATTCAAGCGAGCGTCACTTTGGCCACGCAGCTTTTTCGTTAGTAAAAAATCACTTCTCGCGGTACAGCGCGCGAGTGTTGCGTATGTCACATTGTGCACGCTTGTAAGGCGTCCACACGCACGGATCCTGATTTATAAATTCAAATTATTTTTTGCCCGTGAACGCTTTTTTAACGGGTCAATCATTTTTGAATTGTGCTTTTTTCGTAAAAAAATCCCGCGATCTCGCAGTTATATTTCTAAATTGAACAATTACGATTCCGATCAGATTACATTCATCAAATGTAGGTGATCGGATGAGAGATACTAAAGAAAAATGACAATCGTTATGCAATATACATTCTATTGCGATTGTTGTGCGAAGGTCGAGCGGCTGTGACGGACCTCAGTCGCCTTTTACTCTGTAAAGCGAGAGCGAGAAAGATTGTTTGGTGATGATCGACGCCGTCGCTTTAATGATCGCCACGCATAATTTTCTTTGCCGCTCGTATTTGGTTTCCAGATAGGTATACTGACTGAGTACGCTATCGGCCTTGCCACCGATCTAAATTTATTTTTCGATAGTTTAGATAACATCAAAAATCAGGATCTGGATAGACCCTTAATGTGCGCGAGCGTTAACGTAAGCATATAAATAGGATGACCTCAGGATATCTGGTTCGAGTATATGAGCGCGTCCAGCATAAGTCGGCCACCCCGCGCGATTACGGCATTTTTGGCCGAAAGTGTCGTATGTTTAGCTCGCTCGGAAACGTTTATCAAGGGTCAGAAAAAAAATCCAAATCCATGGATCGATAGATTTTTTCCTCCTCTTTCTAGTGGTGTAACTCAAAAAATTCTTAAAAATTGATTTTGAGGTTAAAACTTGACTTGAATGTTTAAGTCGATTTATCCAAAAAATGTATCCTCCGATTTCAATTTAAACTGCACCAATCGAAAGAGGAGGTAAAAATCTATCGAGAACCATGTTTTCCAGGATGGAGAAATGATAAGAACTATTAAAGATATCGAGATGAATAGCGCGGGACGGCGCGCGCGGACCTCTTTTCCTGCCTATGTCTTTTCGACTCGCTAAAAAAATGCTGGAAAAATAATTTAAACACGTAAATCGATAGATTTTTTCCTCTTCTTTCGATTGGTAATGTTAATTTTGAGGTCAAAATTGAAATACTAGAAGAAATATTGACTTAAAAATTCAAGTCAAGTTTTGACTATGAAAAAAATTTTTGGGAATTTTTTCAATAACACCATCAGAAAGAGGAGAAAAAAATCTATCGATTTACGTGTTAACATTATTTTTCCAGCCCTTTTTAAGCGATTACGAGGGAGTCGAAAAGACAAAGACACGGCGCCGCGTGTGTGCCGCCGCTGGCGCACGGAAAACAGGTCCGCGCGCGCCGTCCCGCGCTATTCATCTCGATATCTTTAATAGTTCTTATCATTTCTCCATCCTGGAAAACATCGTTTTCAATAGATTTTTGCCTCCTCTTTCGATTGGTGCGGTTTAAATTGCAATCGGAGGATACATTTTTTGGGAAAATGGACTTGAACATTCAAGTCGAGTTTTAACCTCAAAATCAATTTTTAAGAATTTTTTGAGTTACACCACTAGAAAGAGGAGGAAAAAATCTATCGATCCATGGATTTGGATTTTTTTTCTGACCCTTGGTAAACGTTCCCGAGCGAGCTAAACATACGACACTTTCGGCCAAAAATGCCGTAATCGCGCGGGGTGGCCGACTTATGCTGGACGCGCTCATATACAAAGCGGCGATAGATAGTTGGAATGTTAGAACAGTTCGGACTATCGACGACTTGGAAAAAATAGTTGTACGCAAGGTTAAAATTTAATCCTGTTATCGTAATTGCTGTAATTGAGAAGCTGCGATCGGTGGGCCTCTCCGCAATGTGATTGATTTAATGGATCGATTCAAATAGCCATCGAGATCTAAAGTGAGTACAAGGCTTATTTTTCATAAAAGCAAAGATGAATGTTCGCTCAAGCGAAATCGCACAAAGACTCGGAATGATAATTAATAACCAGATCGGGCGGAAATAAAATTAACCTCAGAGATAATTTATCATTTAGGACCTGCGCTGCTCGAAAAAACCACGATAAGCTTGAAGCGCGAGCGGCCAAAAATGATTTGTCCCCGCGATACATCGCTAATGACGACCTGTTACCGTTTAAAAGAAAGAACCCGAAGAACAATGAAATAACCGAGTAGCAAGTATCTCCGCAAATGACTTGACCTTCTTCTTTACAAAAACAAAAAAAATGAAGAGCGTCTGTTGGATGAATCGCTTCATTATAATTTATCGAGAGAAAAAAATCAATTTGGCAGACTACTGAAGGCTTTGCTCGTGATATTCGATCGTTTCTTTTCTTCTGCAAATGTAAAAGCGCTATATAGTATGTACGTGTACATTCGTCAAAAGTGAGGCAAAAGACTTCGGACTTTGCTCATGTGTGTGTGTGTGTATGTGTGTGTGTGTTTATAACGTGCACGCCTGAGCGGCTGATGCTACAAACCTACCGCTATATACTGTACCACTGGTACTCGAACTCGTGTGTAATATACTACTACATAACAGTATATTCCATAGGGAATTGCGGCGTAGGTGCACACGAGCTTATATGCCGCTGTAACGTGCCGAGGCTCTCGTCGGTGAGAAAACTTCTTTGCAGCGCGCGGCGCATCCACGTGTCTGTGTGTACGTGCAGCTTGCTGCAGTGCACACACACACATGCACACATGTATAAGATGGTAGCCCGAGCTCGGTCATAACGGTCACTGTTGCCGCTGCAGCTTTTTCTCGGGGCTTCCGATCGCGTCCCATAACATACACACATATAGAGAGAGAGAGAGACTCGAGCGTAGTGGTGGCGTTGGCTACTTTTAATTCGTTCGACGTCATTTATTTCTTGACGCGCGTGAGCTCCGTTTGTACACACACATATGTTTATATATACGCACAGGCTAAATCCCTCTCGGCGCGTCCCGTAATAAAGTTAAATGTAAAAAAAGTCGCCTGCTCGCGCGAGATCGGACACGTTCACCTTTCCATTTATAATGGATGACTTTTGGGCTTAATTGTGCTTATATGCACCGACGCGCTCGTGTCCACGTGCTTTTTTCTCTCGACACGACGTAATCGGACTACCCGATCGGACTCGACCGAGTTACAACGTGATTATTACTTTTACCCCTTGTACGCGCCAGTGTATTTATATATGGCATTGAACTGACTTTTTTGGAGATTTAATTTTGCGACTCGAGCCTACGAATTCTCGTGGGCTCAACTTGTCAACGACATTGTCATCTTTATTCTCCGGTAATGTTAATTATTTTTACAAGATCTGCACGTCGGAGGAGACTGTTTTAGGATACAGAAATTGGCATTTTTTTGTCATAACAGCAGAGCGAGGCAATGTCTCGAAGGAGACTCGAAAAAGCTCGGAGAACAACTTTTCACAATTTGTATTTTTAACACATTGCGTGGCCACGAGCTGTAAGCTATAAGGCATCATAAAAGAGTTGCATTACACTACAGCTCACTTACGCAATCGTATATGTATTTTCGGATTCTACGAGTTAACTCGCCGGCGAATGCTTAGGTGTTGCTTCTTTGACGATGTTATTTCGCGAAATCGTAACACTACTTATGGGTTACTTCTTTTGCGCAATGCCTATTTGCGTATAGCTACACTTGTCTTTTTTTGTTCAATCGCACGAGTGACTCGCGTGCAATGTTCCACATACTTGTTCATCGTAATAAGAAAGCTCATAAAACGGAGAGTATCGCGCGTGTTTTCACGAATTTCGCGCACTTTTTCGATTGCCCGTTGAATTATCCTTCGTGGCCGACGATACCGTGGCACGTTGTCGTGTAAAATTCAAATAGTCCATATACGAGCGCGTGTATGTCAGTCGCCCTTATCGCTCACGAGTAATCGAAATTAGCATAATTTGAGCGTCGAGCATAACGAAGCGAGCGCAATGCTTTATTTTCTCAGCGCAGTTCATACTCGTATAAACGCGCGCGGCGCAGACAAGCCAAAGCCGCCACCAAGCACACAGGTCGGCGATGGCGGTATTTAGATACGACTCGACTTGGCCTCGGTATCCTACACACCTTTTTTCGCGCCTCGAGTAGTAGCAGCCACCTAAAGATCGAGTAGCTAGCTACGATATTTTATTACATGCAGAACATATATCTTTCGTGTGTGTCTGCAGTAGAGACTCTTCTCTCTCTCTCTTAGAGCTCCCTCTTCTCGCGGTTATTTGACGCGTTGCGAGCCGCGCGTTTTCACGCGAGACTACGTTTTGCACTTTTATAAAGGTACACACGTACCGCGCATATTATATGCGCATTTTCTAATGCCGCAGCAGAAGCAGTGGCAGCTCGAGAGCGTAATTTTCAAGCGGCGCGCGTTACATCGAATTTTGCAGAATTTTGCGCTACTGCATACATAAATTGCGCGGCTGCGAATTAACTTCTGAGTAATGCGATGATTACGGAAATGATTTTCTACATAATACATATACAATTTATATTAATATTTTATAATGATTCTCGATCTTATTTTTCTTTCTTTTTTTCTCTGTTACAGGTCGGTTTCCATATTACACATTATATACATATCCATCGGCGGTTTATTTTCAATTTGACCACCTCGTCGCGCTGCGTGTAAGTACAAAACAGGAAATATTATGTGATTACGCGCGCGCGCTGCGTATGGCGTGTAGCTCTACGTGCCACCATGGCGTACCGAAGTAACCGCGAGCGCAAAAATGAAATGAAATCCATGCGACATATGTGTGTGCGCGCGCGCGATGATGCGATGCTTTTTTTTTAATCGCGCGATGTTTGCGTGATAGCTACTTTAGAAATATACGAAGAAAAGAGCAAAATAGCCGCCACCGCTGCCGTGGCGCGATCGATCTGTTTCACGTCGCACCGATAGCTGCGTTATATGTGTGCCTTCAAAGGCCGGATATTCATAGACTCTCGTAACGTTTATGCGCACTCGTATATACGATCCTCGCTTGGCTATTTTTTTCTTTCCTTCCTCACCTGCCTTCGAAAGAAGATCGCAACTCCAGTGCGTTTACGTAGTTTTTTTCATAATAACAGACGATTTCTCGCTACTCACACCGTGCACTCTGCGAGGTGCGCTCGCGCGATTACGTATTACTCAATTTTCACGCAAGCCTCCACGAAATAAGCCTAATTGTATACAATTTTTGTTGTCGATTCCGCATAAAATAACCTTTTTTTGTACTTTAATTTATTAGTCGCTTACTGTGACTCACGCGCGGTCAATAACATTATCGAATCAACTGCCAACTTTTTAAAGGCAAATTACAAAAAGTCGATTTTCCTTTACTTTTTAATGGATAGTTTTACCGAAGGTTTACCTGTGGCTGCATCGAGAGATGCAGTTATTTATTGCTGAAATTCAATGGCGTGCGAACGACGTGGTATTCTGGGATTCCGCGGACTGCGGTATGCAAGGCGCTAGCTCTCGCTGGGGTGATTTTACTTTTCAGTCTCATTATTTAATTGCCGCACGGAGATTGAACGGTAGCCGATGATTAAAACGTTCGCGAATGTTATATCGACGGGTTACGTCTTACACAAGACTCTCGGTGCTAAACAACCTTTTCTCACACACAGAGAAACGGGCGCAAAAAAGAGCTCATAAGCTGGCATCCATCCTTGCGAATTGCGTTGCGTGCTCTCGCTTTATCGAATTTTGCTTTTAATCACGGAGTGTGTATAATCGGTAATTCTCCTGCATTTCGGAGATATGCATGCGTAGACCTACATATTCTTACGAAACGACTCCATCATCGCTGATATGTAATGCCATGAATCACGTGTAAATGCGGGTAGAAAAATTCCTCGAGAAGAGAGCCTATGATCATTGCGCAATTGCTAATGGGACCCTACTCGACGTCTCTCTTTCCTTCTTTCTTTCCAGGCACGTATCTCTCGCTGCGATGTTTTACCGGTATCGTAATCCTTCGACATCGAGTGGGCGCGAGCCGCATTGACTTTCGCTTGTCTACATTTGTATTAACTGCAGCTACTACCTGTGTATGTGGCTGTATATATAAAAAGGTGAACAAATGATCGATCGTAGGCTCTGCCGTCGCATGCCCGCGTGAACTCCCCCCTACGTAATCATTGTGGCTCGTCCAAGGTTTTTCCTCGATTAATTTCGCATCGTCGAGTTTCAATTATGTTTGATCGGTGCGAAGCTAGTTGTTGATGTTTCTTACCTTACGATTTATTTTTTGTACTTCATGAAATTCGGTATGGTATTTTGCTTTCACCAAGTTCAATTTTCGTGGCTTTGCGCGGGAATTCGCACTTTTGATAAATTATCCTCCCATTATCAATTGCATAAGCTTTTTTGTCATAAAAGTAAAAAGGTTGTCATTTACTCTTTAAACAATGCGTAAGTAAAAAAAGAGCTTCCGATGTCACTCCAAATCAAGGTGATATACTCGTGACATTCTCGCTCTATTCAAGGAACTCGCATACAATACAATAGATTCAACTGTGGGCGCTTAGGAAAATTGCGAGAGAAGCCACTCCTTTTGTGTCTTTTGATTTTCGTATGACTCGACGTCGTGTACATTTAAGCTATTACAAGGATTACGTGACTGTTCGCTAGTCGAATCGTTGAGATACTCTAGAGAGGTTGATTATTTACATTTTTAAAGAAAGAAAGATAATGGTCTAAAGAAAAATTTTTGGTGAAAATGATATATAAATTATTAAAAACATCACAGCAAATACGCCAAGTCCTTGTAAGATTTTTATAGATTCCAATGAATGATAAAAAGTAACCGTAAGATCTTTTGCAACTGGCTCGCGTTGTACGTGCGAATATCGTTCAGATTTTTTCGCTTGATTTTAGAATACTTCTGGGCATTGATCGTCGAAGAAATATGTTTTTGTTACGTTTGCCATTATGTACATCGTACACACATGCACGTACAGACACGCCAGTATGCGATTTTCGTCGTAAAAGAGAGCCCCGAGCTCTCGAGCTATAGCTCGAGCAAAACAAGAAGGAAGTAAATAATATGAATGGCAAACGGAAAAGGCTTTTCTTTATTACAGCGTAGCATTTATATTTCTCGAATGGCTTCGTTCAGGTACGTATATATAAACGGTAGCAACTGTGTACGTCATACGCGTTTATTCAACGTACTCGGGGACGGCATTATGCGTAGGAAATATATGTCGCGCCTTTTGAAACGAGCTGAATTACAACTCGCGCGCGTATACCTGCAGGCGCTTTTTTATGTAAAGTAGCTGCTCTCTTTGGTGGCAATGACCTTCCTCCGTCGTGATTGAGTCACGTGTCAATGTGCGTTGATTATTAGTTGCTTCCGCGATGGCTTTCATCGATCACGTTTTACGCACTAATTATCATTCGTTTATGTGCCACATAGGTTTTTTCGGCAAATTCGCAGCGTGGAAAAAAATGACTCCGCGAAAAGAGCACGTAGTGCTGCAGCGCGCGAGAGAGCATGTTGAAAATAAAAACCCGTTTCGCGTCGGTTTACTGTTTCACCTTTTTTAAATGCACGTCGCAGCGATCTCTTTAAATTTCACTTTCAGTCAAAGACTCACTGGCCGCCGCGCGCGATCGTATTATATACATCTTACGCAGCTCGGGCGCGCGCAGTGTCAGCTTCGAGCCGGGGCAGGGAGTTTTAAAAAATTTCGCAAAGCCAACGGCCATGTCGTTCCTTTTTCATACTGTCACCTTATTGTGTATGCCTGCACCGAAACGCTGTATACTTTCTTACATACACGCGCATAACAGACCTTTCAAAATGAAGAAGGTTCATCAATTATTATGCGCGGGCGCGCGAGAGTCGAGACTGCACCTAACTGCGGCAGTCGCGCGCGTAATTGAGGGCTTTGTGTACGCGCGCGAGGATTTTACTCGAAAGAAAAAAAAGTATATAAAATAAGGAACGAAAAAAAAAAACGCGAAAAATTATAAACGCGACGGTGTCCGCTTTCTTTGACCTTTTTCATGCGTTCGTACGCGCAAAATGCGTAGCTAAATCCTGCTGCACGAGTCACAAGGTCACGAGCGATAAATTTGATTTCTTGCCGATACTCGATAGTTTATTATGCGCGTCGTTATGTTATATCCACGCCGTATAGGTCAAAGAAGGGAAGGGCAAAGTATGAAGAAAATATTACTACAAGACTCTCGCGAGCGAGCATTAAAAGTTATGCACACTTGTGTCGCAATTTAATCACGCCGAGATGGATTAATTGGTTGTATATTAGAAAAATATGAAAGACCGAGAGCAGAAAGAGAGAATGCGACGCGCTCACCTCTGCAAGTACAATGCGTGTGTATGTGTGTGTTGTGTGTGTGTGTGTGTGTGCATACGGGCGCACATGCGAGGCGTTTTATTAAGGACGACGCAAGTATATATGCGTACATGCGTATAGAACTTTGGCCTTGCCACGCCTTTTGCTTCGTGTAAAATGATACTTATGAACGGCGATCGTGCCGGAGCTCGTGTGCAATGTATAAAGTCACGCTCGCCGAGCGATTCTGAAAAGTTATAGCTCATCGCGCGCGCCTGCACGCATGTTTAGCAAGAAAATGTTTGTCTTTCTCTCGCTCGTAATGGACGCCTATGTGTGTACACCAATTTCGAGCTTTGCAACAACGACGAATGAATCACCACGTCCCCTTGCCCAGTGCGATTTTGATTGAAAAATATCGCATTGTTTTAACAACATCGAGCGCGCGAGTATACAGCTGCAGTCCGGCAATGTTGCTAAACTTTTTCTTTTCCCCTGCGCTTGGTCGATGACCAATGAACCATAAATAATAAATACACCAGTGCAAATATTAATAATAGCGTTGACGTGTCGCGTTGATTTGCACAGAGCTCCGTGAACGTGCACACTCGTGCGCGCCTTGCGGCTCGACTATGTATCGTGCATAAGGACTTTAGCAAAACTAACGTCGAAGCATGGCATCGATCAAAATTATTTATCGCAGCAACGACATGTACGTACGAATGTATTGCTTAAGCTACTTTATACACCGTCTACGAGAGAAAAAATAAAAGTAAAAAAAAAAAATTGGTGATTTGCTTTTGAACGTTCGTTCACTTTCGATGAATTAATATTACATCGCTCGATTCATAGACGGTATCTTCTATGTCATTTGCCTGCGAAGCTCCGGGCGCGAGAAGCTTCTTCTCTATAGTTTTGGCGACTCTTGTGTGTATATATGTATAATGTATATCGAGTTGGAAAACTTGGCAGGCAGCACAATCGATCGCATATTACATCGGTCGTTCGCGCCTCGTAACAAATATAGCCCTCTGCCGAGCGAGAAAGCGAGAGAGACTTGGACCCGGCTAGGCGCTCTTTTTGGCTTCTCTCTCTCTCTCTTACTCTGGTGCGTGTGGCGCATCCGATCCGCATTCCCGATTACTGGCCGAGCATTTTTGCACTTGCGTCATCGTGGTGCAAGCGGCAAAAACCAAAGCCCAGAGAGACATTAGACGAGCAGCGCGAACTCGATCGAGGACGCCTTTTCGATATTATTTTCAAGGGATTGATTAAATCATGCCACGCCTCGATTCGTTGACGATAATTTTATTTTTATTCTTGTCCGCTTCTTT